TAAGATTGGTGTCATTTTGTAATTTTTGTTTGATGATATTTAAAGTTTTATCAACAGGAACGTTAGTGAATAGACTAACAACATCAAAACTTACTGGAATATGGTTTGGATTTATGTCTATATCTGATAATTTTTGTAAAAAATGTTCAGAATTTTTAATATAGGAAGTTGTGTTATTTATTAGGGGATTTAAAATGTTTAAAAGATATTTCGCTAAGGGATGTGTAGGTGAATTTATACTACTAACTATTGGTCGTAAAGGAATATTAACTTTATGAATTTTTGGAACTCTCTAATTTTGATCTAACGTAATCTGTGAATTCATGTTTAAATGTTTTTAAAGTGTTATAAATTTGTCTTTCAAAACGTTCTGTTGGATTTTTGTTTAATTTTGAATAACTTGTCATTTAAAAGTTCATTAATTTTTTGATCATAGATATTATAATCCATGATGACGGTCGCATTATCTTTATCAGCAGGCAAAATTTTGATTGTTTTATCATTTTTTATTGAGCTTTGATTTTATTAAGGTAATTTTTTCAAATTAATTTCTTGAAATGGAAATTCCGTCTTCACAAAAATTTTTGAGGCGAAATACCCAAAAAGAAGTTTGTAAAAAAATGAATCCGCCTCAACAATATAGAACTTACCTAAGAAGAAAACATGTTGCCACTTCATTCATTTTTTTCATTAAAACAACGCAACCGGCGTCTGTCTAATAGTATCTCTTCAGTAAAACCAAAGAAAAAACATTGAACGCGCTGCACCGCTTAAAAGCACTGCTAGCGAACTGACGAATCACTAGACATCACTTCTGTTTCTATTTCCCAACATACGAAAAGTGTGCCGCGCTGTGTCGCTGTATCAATACGGCACGCCGTATCGGTGTCGCTGTGTGAACACCTGAAAATCCACTGTGTTACCCAGGCCTAAAACCTGAACAATTTTTCAGGTTCCTGACGTTGTTCTGCAACTGTTTGCCTCATCCCACTGTTCTACGAGTTTGGGACCTGATTTTCCTGGAAGGAAACGAAGTTCTTCTGCGTACAGCAGTGGCCATCTGGCAAGTGCTGGCGCAAAGAATCCTCTCGGTTCGAACAGCCGATGAATTCTACTGCATGATGGGGGCCTTAACCAGGGAACTGCTCGAATCCAATCTGATTGACGCCAATACGCTGATTAAAGCGATCGTGGCCATCGGGCCGCTGAAGGAGCTGAAGAACTTGAGGGATCATTATTTGTACAATATCACGCCCTGGGGAACGTCGATGCCTCGGCCGGTGGAAAAGCAGATCAGCTTGCATCTGAAGCACAACATTCCGTTGGACATCAGCGCCCTGAAGAAGCAATATTTGAAGCTGAAGCAGCGGCAGCGGCAGGCGCATGTTATTTTTTCTTCGGCGATATCGGGACAGCCGGCTCCTGCCCCGGCCCTTGCCATTAACCATCTTCTAGTAGGGAAGCGAGCTTTAGGTGAGATTTTTGGGTGTAGACAGATTGGGGTTGTTCACCAGGAAACATTTCGTGTAGGTTCTGCAAGACGTCCAGCACCGCCAAAGGGCAGCATCCCGCCAGCTCGTCAAATCCACCCCAGCACCATCCAGTGGAAGGACGCAGAAAAACAGAGCTCCAGCTCCAGTTCGAGCGACACTGAGCTATGCGACGACGACGTGCAGAGTTCTTCCGAAGAAGATGCGAAGCCTCCGAGCCAAAGTCAATTAACCGACAATCCCAGTCCTGGTGATATTAGTTTAAAAAAATGCGACAATACTGAAGGAAACGCTGCCTCTGTAGCTAACAGTTTAAGAGCGTCCCCGGTGAAGCTGATGTCTGACTCAGAGGACGAAAGCGCTGAGTTCGAGCACTTTTTAGCTGATCGTGTCAAGTATCTGAAGGAGAACAATAGTGAGAGTGAGCCGGCTAATGTGAGCGCCAGCAGCCATTCCAGGCGCAATAGTGAGCTGGCGCTGCAAATTATACAGGAGAATTCGATGATTTTACGCAGGATGATGCAGTGTCAGTCGCGACTTTCTCCTTCACCTCCGCTGTATTTTAAGGATGAGGCCGAAGGCGAGTTGAACCCTGCAGAAGCAGTCACTGACCTGCCGGCTCAGAAACAAGACACCGTATACTCTCAGAGTGGGGAAGCAGAAAATTTCCCAGAAAACCCTCAGATTAACTCGCGATTTCACAACATCCTGGAGAAAAGCAAAAGTCTGGACGAGCGCTGCAATCACCTCTTTTATGGCGAGTTTTTGCAGCAGAAGTCTGCCCGACTGGAGGGTTTGCACGAAAGCAAGTCGGAAACGCCACTGGCAATTGCAAGTGATGACCAGCTCAATCCCGCCGGATCCAAGGAAAAGTCCCTGGATAATAGAAAGTCTGGCGAGTTGATTCAACAGAACGTCGAGTTGCTGAAGGCTCTGGCAGCTAATAAGAGCAAAGACCCGCAGCAGGATAGACTGCAGTTGTCCACCAGGCTTATTAAGGAAAACGTGGACTTGCTCAAGTCCATCAGCAGTGAAAAACCGTGCCTCAGCGACTCAAGGGATGGGAATAGTGAACCTTTTAAGGCGGATATTAGGAGTGTTGTTGCGATTTTTGAGGATTCAGCTTCAATATTGGCAAACGAAGCCCTTCAGCCCAACGGGGGACGCTTGGAAGGTGCTGGTGTAACTTTGGACTGTTCTTCCCAGCTTCCTCCTTTGAATGAGAATGACTATCCAGTGCCTGCTCACAACTCATCAGTAGCTGAAGAATTCTCCTCAGTTGATCTGCTGTCTGATTATAAAACTGAAGATTGCGGATGGAATAAGGAAGACGATAAGGACTCAGCCATCAGTGTAAATGGTGGGCAAAGCTCAGAAACTGCAACTTCGCACTGCTTGATCAACTTTGATGACGATTTACCGCTAAATGAGCAGCAGGAGCGATATGCTATTAGCTATGAAAGCTGTGATACACCTTCGACTAGTTTCACCTTGAAAAGTGATCATTTCAGTGCGAGCACTCCAAGCTTCTCGGCTTCGAGGGCGCTTAGTGAGGAACAGTTGAGCCTGAGTAAGTCGCCCAGTCACGTTTTTAATCCGTTCCCTGTTGCCCTCAATTCCAGGCAAAGTAAGGAAGTTCCTTTAAAGCTCGGACTTTATAGGAAGTAAGTTGGAGTTGGCGTATTCAATTGTGCCTGGAACATTAGGACTTGTTGATCCGTTCCATTTGAGTTGCTGTTGTAATTGGTTCCTGATTGTTTCTTATTGATTATTGATGAGTCGAGAAAGTGTCTTTCAAAGTGTTTTTCTCGGTTAAAGAAATGGGTTTGAAAAGAGTTTTTAAAGTGGATTTTTGTTCGCTTTCTCGTCTTTTGAAGATATCAAACTATATACTTAGTACAAAGTTAGGTTACCGTGTAAAATTAGTCGTTGGATGTCTGTGTTGTAATCATCTAGTTACGTTTTTCGCAATTTATACGTCCAAATTCTACTGTATACAACTTATTAAAAACTGGCAAAATTTGCAGGCTTTTGGGACATTTGTCCATGATGTCTTGAAAGCTCAAAAATGTTGCATCGTTCCCGGCCCCGACAGCCTAACTTGTTCGATAGTTTCATAAAAGCTCAAAGTTCTCGATTTCTTATAACTATTATTGTTGCATATAGAACTACTTTAGCCCATGCAGCTGAATGTGATGCGCTTTTAATTAATTTTCCCATTTAAAAAATGGATGATAGCGGTATGGTGTGAAGGATTAATACAATAGTAGCCATAAGTCGTTTCCTGTTGGAAACATGTTAATTGCGCTGTGCCAGTCCATTTGTTCCGACTATTGCCTCTTAATCAAAATGTACTTGATATATTTTCCATAGCGGCTGATAGAATATACTGTGAAACTGTTACTGAAGAAATAAATTGCAATATTTCGATTTTTTCCTTGGTTAGCACTTTATTGGGGAATTGGCCTGGAATCCTGCCCTTCTGAAGACGATTTCTGAGCAACCAAGAGTTTTAGTACTACTAGATAGCATACACTTTGCTCACGATGCGATTTCAATTTGGTTCCATTGAAGATTTTGGGTACCATCATCCTGAGCTTTGAAACTTTGGAGTGTTTCTGAGCGGTTTCTCATTTTTACTTCATAATTTTCAAAAGCGGGTTTCTAAGCACCCAGTTTTGATAGCCAATCAGGAGTTCCAGTCGTTGATAGAAGAAGCTTCGGTCTTTACGAGGCTTAAATTTGGTTCTATTGAAACATTAAGCAGGATCACACTGAATTTTAGAACTTTGGAGTGTTTTTGTGGCGTTTTTCAGTTTTACTTCATCCATTTCTAAAGAGCCTGAGTAAACACAAGATTTAAAAAAAATAACTGCGGGGTTTAGTACTAGATAGCAAAAGCTTGAGTTTAGATGTAGTTTCAATTTGGTTTCATTGAATGCTTTAGCACCATCATGCTCAATTTTTGAACTTTGAGGTGTTTTTGGGCGGTTTTTCATTTTTACATCGCACTTCTCTAAAGACCGTCTCTAAGCAGCCAGTTAAGATATTTAACCGTGGCTTTTAGCAGTAGATGGTAAAAACTTTGCCTGTGATGTGGTTTTAACGTGGTTCGATAGAAAAAAATGGTACCATCATAAATAAATTTCAAACTATGGACAATTTTTGCTCAGTTTGTATTTTCCACAGCCTACTTTTCTATAGACGGTTTTCAAGCTCTTGGTTTAGGTATCCAACTGGGGGTTTGAGTAATCGAAAGCAGAAGTCCCGTTTTCAATGCGATTTGAATTTGGTTCCATTACATACATTGGTACAATCATAGTGAATTTTAGAACTTTATAGTGCTTTTGCGCGGTTTTTCATTTTTTCATTGATCTTCTCTAAAGATCGTTTCTAAGCATTTAGATTAGATGTTTATCCCAAGCTTTTACCAGTGGATTGCTCTTGATGAAGACTTAACTTGGTTCGAAAAAAATGATTGGTACACCATTTTTAAACTGTGGAGTGTTTTGGCACGGATTTTCATTTTTACTTCATTCTACTCAAAAGAACATTTATAAGCACCCAGTTGAGATATTTAAG